AGTCGGCAATGAGACCGAGGAAACCAAGCTCAACGTCACGGCTGGATCTTTCAAGGCTAACGCTTCGGAGGAGATCGGCATGTTTTTTATCTTTGGTTAAACAACAAAAGGAACAACCACACCTGACTCCTCTAAGTGTTGCCATTTATCAATAGGGTTTTCCTCAAAGCCGGCCTCGTTGTCGACGGGACGTTTCTCCTCCCTTTGATCTTCCGGGATCGGCCGCTCGACTTCCTGTTTCGTCTCTGCCACCTCAATTTGAGCCGTTTCTTCTATAATAATAGGCTCAAAAGATTCAGTTGGCGCAGGTTCAAAACGGATGGTTTCAGCTCTCCGCCGGGCGACCATCCGTTCGGCGTTTTTCCTTTGTGCCATTTGCGAGAGCGTTTCCCCAGCCATGTTCTCCGGATATGAGCTGGGGAGATCTCCCAAACCAAAATATATATCTTCAAAAGAAACTTTCCCCTGACCTAAAGTGGAAGGAGGGTTGTCCTGGTTGAGGCATGATGCTTCGAACGCCGAGTTGAGAGCCTCGTCGACTTCTTCGGCCTCTAAAGCAGATTGGCTCGGCTATTCGGCGATCTCCTCGCCTACTGGCTCCGGGGCTTGGTCCGAATCAGAAGCTTCGAAACTGATTTGCCTTAGGCTTTTGAAGCGAGGGAAGATGAAAGCCGTGAGATGTTGTTCGCCATGTGGAACAGGGATATTTTCCGCTGCCGAGAATGTTGTATAAGTTGGCTTGTACCTCAGTAGTATATGGGCGACTCTCCCCTACTTCTGGATGTTGGGACGGCCAAAAAACTGAAGTGCGATTTTGATTTCCGCAAGAACCGCGTCGTCAACCGAAACCAGAACTTTCTTCAAATCGTTGCCTGCAAAATAAGAAGATTAGTACTTCAAGAGAAAGCCGATTAAATATAAAATAGATAAGTTTAAGGTACATAGCAACCTGGTTCGCCTCTCCGTCTAGGTATAGGGTCTAGGCGATCTTCGCCTTCGCCAAATTTTCAGTTACCTCGAACAACGACCATGACATCATCAACTCGCTTACCAGAGTTGGAAAGCATAGTAACCAAATGATGGTTAGTGTCTATCATGACCCCAAACTGCCCCTAGTAGTTTGGTGCCATGATGGCCAGTAATCCGAGATTACCGAAGGCCAACTTTCAAAATTCACACACAATCAGAGTATAAATATATGGGGCTAACATGTGCGGAAGCATTAATTCAAAATACAAGCGGTCCATAAGAGCAGTGCATAAGTCAAATGGAATGGCATACATCTTTACATAGCTTTACAACTTGAATACAAATAAAATAAAGTACAAAAATACATATTACATCTTAACAAAAGGCTCCTCAAGCTGACATGAACAAGGTACACGAGCCTCAAGATTTGCCGACATAAACAAAATACAAGAAATACAAGTCAAGAGACATAATCTTCAAAATTGCCGACATCCTCACAGCCGACATAACATGCATACAAAACACACATCTCGGCGTAGCCGACTTCTTGCTTGTTACCTACATATATACATAGGGAGGGTGAGCTTGGATACTCCGTGAATGGTACAAATAATAAAGGGGTTTAATGAATGATACCCGAGATCTTTTCAAAACAATACATAGTATGTCATTGTCAAAACCATACATAACATAGCTTAGCTTAGCTTGAAACAAAACATCATTCGAAACTTGGTCTTTCAAAACTTACATACTTAACATACGTCAAATCTTAAAACATAACCTCGGCATAACCTTGGTCCTTCAAAACAAAAGCATAACCTCGGCATCGAGCACACCCGTTCATAGTCCGTAGGTGGCCGATATCTTAACAAGGGTGCTACTTAGGCTTAACGTCCCTTAGCACGAAAGGACGGTGCTACCTAGGCTTAAAGTCCCCTAGCACGAAAGGACCCTTAAAACAAGATGTGCTGCGAAAGTTTAGAGTCCTCCAGCACGAGGGACCTATGTTACTGTACGGGGAGCAGATATTCCGGCGTGCCCGTATTCCTTTCTTCCGAGCTCCGTCGATGTCCGATCACCTGCGAGTCAATAAGGATGAGCTACCCGGCGGTGTGTGGCCGGAAAAACCCTCCGACGGTCAAGTTAGCACACACCTTAGAGGGAATAGAGAGAAGGGAGAGAGTGTTTGAGTGTAAGGATTTTCTTACAGAGTGTTCGTCCATCGCGTATAGGGGGCGCAGACATGCCTATATACCTTCTGAGCCCCTTACCCACTCCCAGTCATCTCCTGACACGTGGCTCTGCTATCCCATCTGTCAGAATAGACCTTGCTGAACATCACCTAATCTCAACTGCCTGACTTCACAGCTGGAGCTCGGCAGCTGAGCTGCTCTACCACGGCCATGCCATGCTTCATACCCATGCGCCTAACCGGACAAACACATGGAGGACCGGGCTAGGCGGCATCCCGGCAAAGCCTAGCCCGGGTACCTCCTTTGGTCGGCCTTCCTGCCGGTCAATCAACTACCTCGGCTGACCACGCCTTTCCGGGCGCCGGTCACTCGGTCTGTCTGGCATCGACCATCCTCGGACCGAGCATCCTGGTCCGACCGGTCACTTCCTGGCCGAGCAGTTTCTGTTCGGTCCGGGGTAGCATACACTCAGTCCAAACTCTGTCCGGCCCAAATCTGTCCGGCACAACTCTGCCCGGTCCAAATCTGTCCGGCACAACTCTGCCCAGTTCAAATCTGTCCGGCACAACTCTGTCCGGTCCAAATCTGTCCGGCACAACTCTGCCCGGCCCAAATCTGTCCGGCCCAAATCTGTCCGGCACAACTCTGCCCGGCCCAAATCTGTCTGGCACAAAGTCCATATCATTAATCTCCCTCTCAATTGCCCCTTAATTCCAGCACAGAGTGATAATGACAGCAATGTAAGTTGTGAAAACTTACAGAACTAGCTCGGGACTCCCGGTTTGAAAGCAATCTAGCAATCACGAGAATGTCCGAAGAACACCTCAAACAACTCAGGATAGACCATTGTAAGTTGTGGAAACTTACGGAAACTTCAACGGGACTCTCGGCACAAGGGACCTATGTTACAAGAGCCCGTAGCCCTTTAACACTTGGGTGCTTCGCAAGTTTAGAGTCATCCAGCACAAGGGACCTATGTTACAAGAGCCCGTAGCCCTTTAACACTTGGGTACGAATCAAGGGTGCTGCGAAAGTTTAGAGTCCTCCAGCACGAGGGACTTTCCGAAAACGTCGTCAAAACAAAGCTTATACTTGATACATAAAATAGGGATATCATTCATGCTTAACAAATACTTTCATCAAAACAAGGCAAAGCTTTATCAAAACCTTAAGAACATAACTTTATTAAAAATACCACTCACATAGTTCTTGGGACGTCGGGGTCAAGGCAAAGGTCCAAGTCCTACAAACACATGGCAAAATCTACTGAACATACATCTCAAAACAAGTCTTACATACATGCAAATGATCTCGGAAAAACATGCTGAAAGTCAAAACACTGTTTTACATGTCAGGAAGACATGCTGGGTACCAACCAGGTCTTTGCCGAGGTCCCACACCTCCTGGCCGAGGTGTGGCTACTTAGGCTTCGGAGTGCGGCTGCATGCCGAGGTGTGCACAAGACAAACTAAGGTGTAAGTGATCATGCAAGGTAGGCCAAGGTGAGATACGATGCTTGGCCTAGGTGTGAGGTCTAGGTGAGAGTGATCTCGGCAACTACACCTCGGAAAGTGAGGTCTGGAGATCTGGATTTCCACCCGTGAAGAACAGGAAGAACATGAACATGAAGAACATGGATGCTAAAATCATAACTTCTTTATTTATAAAATCTGGGGTTTCATGCTATGAGTTCGAAAACATGGACTTGGGTACCCATACTTGAAAATCATGTGAAAACAAATACAAAAACATGAATCTTGGCATAAGCTTTCGGATCAAAACATGACTTTTCTTGAAGAACACATGAATGCTATTTTCTCTTTCTAAAACCGAACTTCAAAGCAATACATGGCTTACAAATCATGTTCAATCATGCAATGCAATAACATGAACATGAAGAACGACAAGAGCAGATCAAGAATCTAACCTTAGAACGCGGATCTAACGGTTCGATCTCAAGGAATCAAGCTTGGAAATCCACTCTCCCTCAAGAACTCTTCTTCCTCTCCTAGAGCTTCTCTCTCCTTTTCAAAACAAGATACAACAAATGATGGGTTTCTCTCTCTGCCGGCTGACTTAACTCTCAGCTCGGACACGTGGCAACGGCTGGTTGGTTCTCCTCAAAAAGGTGATAGATTGACAAGACAAGACTATGACTAAGCGTATCTAACAAGCTACTCGGTAAGGCACTCCGGCAAGGGATGACATCGACTAACAACAAGACTTCGGCAACTAAGGTGACAATGACCTCGGCTAGGAAGGACAATGCTTGACTAAGCTGTGCCACACCTTGGCCTAGATGTGCCACACCTCGGTCTAGGTCATACCACTCCAGGACAAGGTCACTCAGGTGCAAAGGTAACATCTCACCCTAGATAATACAAATCTCGGCCTTGGTGATTCACACCTCGGCCTAGATAATGACATCTCGGCCAATATGTCAAGGCGAAGATGGTGGTCAAACAAAGGGGTTCCAAGATACTTCTAAACTGAAGATGACCTCGGCTTGGAATGATCTAGGCTTAACATAACCTAGGCTTGGCATGACCTAGGCTTCACATAGCAGGGAAGGGACAAAGCATGCATACAATACTTAGACAAATCACATAAACACAAAACAAGACAAGATTCATGCATGCAAACTTATCGAGACAAAGTTATGTAAATGAACATAAATATGACCATGACATGAATATGGGTCGTTACAGCATCTTAACATGGCAAAACATACAAATGCATGCAAACATGACTAGGACATAAAATGTGGGTTGTTACAGTGTCCTTGGCCCTGAGAAAGTAACGCCCTAGCCGGCCAGAAGATTTGGCCAAAGCATAACAATGACGAACGGTAAGTATGCCAAGGTTGATCCTAAGATGCTGGTTCAACTCTACAATCCCCATTATGACGCGAAAAAAGTTTACGTTGGGTTGCGAAGGAATCAGACCCCAGTGGCGAAGGACGGCCCTAAGAAATGGATGAAGGGGAAAACGAACTCCGCCCTCAGCGATGGATAGGAGAGGAAAGATGATTGAACTTTCGTCATCCCTCTCCATATCAAGAGTTCTATCTGTCACGAGTGACAGATGAACTTCGTCGGGGATGGAAAAATGGCGTCGAAACCCAGAAATACGTTCCCCAGAAAGTAGTTCTTTTAAATGTTTGGACATCCTAGCAAAGCTTAAGAAGAGTGCTAAACTAAAAATAAGCAAGGAAATAGGATGCAAAGAGAAAGAGAAGGGAACTTACAAAAGGCAAAGGAGACAATGACAAACGGAAAAAAGTTGCAGAAGATGCAAAAAGGAGAAGGTATATCGACTTGCAGTCCAGGAGCTTTGAGTTTTCAAAAATGCATTCGAAGAGACAACAAAGTTTCAAATCATAATAAATAAGGGAAATGCACGAGGAGGCAGGAAAGTATAATGATGACCGAAAAGCGTGTGCGTACTGACATTTACGTTGGAATGGGAATAGTCCCCGAATTCATGTTTTTGACCTGTCAAATTCGAAACCAAACACGCCAACTATACTGTTGCTAGTGGGGTGTTTGGGGGGCAATTGTGGGAGCCGAAGATTTACAATTGCAAAGGGGAGGCCGAGAGATACTTGGAAGCTTGCTCTACGAACATCTTATTCGGCCCCATCCTGCCTCATTCGGAAGCAGAATATACCAATTGGCCAAAGAACTAGTTAAGCAAGAAGCCGAATAATCATCCACAAGATGGATGTTAAAGTGGGCCAGACCCTGAGGCCCCGAGAGCGAGTATAAATAAAGAAACAACAGCCAAAAAAGAAGTATGTGAGAATTATTAGGCTTTACTTAAGATACAAGTAATCAAGAGAGTATATACTGACTTATCCGTCGGAGTGCTAATTCCGGCACCCCCGACCGGATTGTTCATTCCTTTTCAGGTTATTAGCTGAGGATCTCGAGTGTCCCATTGGATCAAAAGAGTATTTCCAAACCACATCCCCACATATAAGTAAAGAAAAGAGAAGAGAAATGAAATAAAATGGGAACAAATTGAGAGAAACTCAGGTTGCGTTTGGTAGAGTTTTAGAATTATGATTTGAGAATAGAGTTGTATTTTGAGTTTGTAAGTTTTGGAATTATGATTTGAGTGTGGAAAATTTGTTTGGTTATGAGTTTTGAAAAGAGTTTGAATTGAGTGATATGACATATGCTATTGAAAAGTGGGTGCTTTGAAAAGTGGGTGTGGAATTAATTTTCTAAAGCTGTAACCAAACAACACAGTCAAACTAAAGAGTAGAATTAAACTTCAAAAGCTCCACCAAACAAAGCCTCATGGTTGCGTTTGGTAGAGTTTTGTAAATATGATTTGAGAGCATGAGTTGTATTTTAAGTTTGTGAGTTGTCAAATGATGATTTGATTGTAGAAATTTTGTTTGGTTATGGTTTTTGAATAGAGTGTTGAATTGTGTTTTGAATTGTATGTGGAATTGAGTTTTGAAAATTTGATGTGACATATGAAATAAGAAAATTTATTTGGTGATGAATTTTCAAAATAGTTTTCAAAACTTAATTTAACCTATAATTGATAATCAAACACACAACTCATATATCGATATCCGTATTTTTGATCAACAGTCATAACCAAACTATTTTTAAAATACTCAAATAAAAAAAGGATTTTTTTTTCAATTAATTGTTTTTAAGTAATTTTTTTGAATAATTTTTTTTTAAATAACTTCTATGTCAATTATTTTGCATCAATTAATTTTTTTGTCAATTCATTTTTTAGGCCTTTACAAACATTTTGTACAATACATTTTTAATTTTTTTTCAAAAATTTTGTTGAAGTCAACAACTTTGGAGATTACATATTGATAAAAATTAACATAAATCAGTGTGTTTAATATTTTTAAATACAAACCAAAACGTAAACGTTACCAAACATTATCAATATTTTTTCATTTATTACATTTTATTAATTTAATAAAAAAATCGTTTCTTTTTGTTGGTGCATTATTGTACTTTGAATGTCACCCACCTATGAAGGTCATATAATTGGGGAGGAGTCATATTTGTGTACAAAATGACCAATTCGCCCCTCTTCATTTGAATGGCAGGTTGTTACGTAAGAACAAAATGAAAAGGATACTACTGTAATTTCACTTATCCAATACACCTACCCCTCATATCCTGGGTGTCTGTTCATCACTGTGGGATAAAGGAAAATAAAGACGAAGCCAAAAACCTGCACACAGTCAGTAATCAGTATACGGATGCAATTAAAAATAAGTAAGGAAAATAAAAAAAAATAATCAATAAGAAATGAAAAGTAAATAAGAAAAAAAATTTAAAAAAAAAAACCCTTCTGGATCTTCTGAACCTCAGCCTTTATATAAGATCTGAGTCTGCATTCGTTTAACCACACCATCTTCACCATTTCATTCCAACACCTTCAGCAGCTCCATCACACTACAATATTAACTACATTCAATGTACATATCCTTGGGAAGGAAGAGAGAAGAGGTTAGTTTGAAGCACAATTCATATTCTTGATAGCTTCAAAGCTGAGTTGCATGAAGACGAATTGCAGGTGAAGAATAGGCACTAGGGACAACCGGCCGGTCATCCCGCCGGTCATCCGGTTCAGCCACCAGTTCGCCTTCCGCACTCAGTTTCGTTATCCATTGCCTATTTGTTCCTTTTTTTCACAACAACATCATACATTTTTCTTAACTTTTGCAGTCATCATGCTAAGAACAAAAAGAGCGAGACCCAAACGTGGCGAAACCTCTAACCCTGTACAACGTGAACCACAGCAACAATATCATAACTATCCAACTGTTGACTTTCTCACATATAATCATGAACAAGCTTATTCAAATTTCGCTAATCGACCAATTGTTAAGGAGAGAAAGGTAAATCTACCTTCTCAATATAATCCACTGTTGCTTGGCAGATTGGATACAATGGGATGGTTACCTTTAACTAATTTACCACATAAGGTATATCCCCGTCTTGTACATTTATTTTACGTTCACTTGACATCTGCTGAGGAACAAGTGGAACCGTTCAGTCTGACCTCTTATGTGAAGGGGAAAGTAATCACACTTAACCCCCGCACTTTCGCACAAATTATTGGAGTTGAAACAAGAGATTTGCAATGTTATTTTCAAACTGAGGCACAGTTAGCTAACATTGTGGATGATCTAACTGAGGTTTATACCACAATTTGTGAGAGCCGATTCATCGGCATTAATTTACAAGCCAGACATTTAAAACCCCATCTTCGTATTCTTCATCGATGGATAGTTGAAAATGTCACTCCCAAAAAAGGACATTTTGATATTGTTCCATATTTTAATGTTTATTTGTTATATTGTTTTAAAATTGGACAAAACTTAGATTTATGCTTCATATTACTGAGAGAAATGATGGTTGCAAAACTTGGTACTCTGAGTGGCCGGTCACTACCTTTTGGAGCTTTGTTAACCAAAATTTTCAAAATGCATCATGTCAACCTTGAAGGTGAAGTAGATGTGAGAATCACTTCACCAATTTCTAAGTACACACTGACCCGAGCTGGTGGTACTGAAAACTTACTGGGCTCTATTAACTTTGAAAATAAACCAATACCTGATGAGGAAAAACCCAATGACAATGCCATGCCACCAAATGAACAACCCCAATACTGGACTAATTAGTTAGCGTTGGAACAAGAATGGTACAATCAGCACCTACAATGGGAACAACAAATGACTAATCAAGTCAATACATTGGATACTCGGTTCGATGAATTTACCGCCGCCTAGAACTCACTAATTCAACAATTTTGTGAGTTTCGTGTAGACTCAGGGAGACGTGATGAAGTGACAAGGAACCGCATTGATTAGATTGACCAACGAGTCACTCAGGTATACCATCACTACTTCCATCCACCTCCACCACCATCTGACAATGATGCTTAACTTGTTTCGATGAGCGTTTAATTGGTTCACACATACTGTGGTTACATTTTGTTTTCTTATTTTTTTGTGGCTATTTTCTTTTCTCATTTTGTTGTAGTTATTTTTTTTGGTTATTTTGTTGTAATCTTTTGTATTGACGTAATGAATAGTCAATTTTTTTCTGCACTGTAAAATTAACCAACGACAATGTTATAACAATCTGTGAGTTATATTATGAAATTAAAAAAAAGATTCGTACAAAAATTAATAAATGTGTAACAAATCCTTCATTTCAATAAAATGAAAAAATTAAAATTAAAATTATTGTTGTCTATGAATTAATAAAAAAAATTAAATTAATAACAAAACCATTATTTTAATAAAATGAAAAAAAAAATTAACAAAAATAATCGGCCCAAATGAAATAAAACAAGTTAAAAATTAATAATTATACTTTTTTTTTAATAAAAAGGAAATAAAAAGTAATAAAAACTTGCCTACATGGTATAACATCTAAAAATAACAAAACCATGATGTTAATATGAACAAAAAAAAACAATTAATAAAAAGAAATTAAAATTAATAACAAAGCCTTCAAATTGTTTGAAAATGAGAAAAGTAAATTAATACAAATATGTCGTCTACGAATTAATTATAAAAAATTTAAATTAATAACAAAACCATTATTTTAATAAAATGAAAAAAACAAGTTAAGAAAAAATATTCGACTAACACGAAATAAAAAAAAATAAAAATGAATAATTATACATTTTCTTTAATGAAAAGGAAAAAAGAATTAGGCCTGGTTTTGGATCTCAAAAAAAAGTCAAAAAGTTAAAAAAGTTATTCAAAAAGTTAAAAATTTATTACTATTCACCAAAAAAAAAATTAAAAAAATAATGTTACACAAAACAAATTCTCAAACAACTCTGATGTATTGCAAGCAGAGCTCACTTTTTTTAAATGAGCTTTTATTTAGGTGCACTAATAACTCAGTGTTGTTCGGCCTATGGAGACCCATCACGAGTCCCGTTTTAATAATTTGAACCGTTCAATGTGTAGAAATCGTCGAGTATTATATGCCTGTGAAAAATCACGTAGATCAGATATCGATAACTATATGATCAAATCAATTAAAATTTATAAAATGGATGGTGTTATAGTTAACCGTTGAAAACAAACTAATCCGATCAGATAGCTATCGATATCCGATCAACGTGATTTTTTACAAGGAGATAGTACTCGACGATTTCTACACATTAACGGTTTTGATTAGCAAAACGGGACCTGTGGTGGGTCCCCACGGGCCGAACAGCACCTCCAATTCAATGCCCAAAAAGCAGGGAAACATCTCCCAGCCTTTACTCTACCTACGCTATCCCTACATTCAGCCCATCGTACCACATATTCCATCCAATCTTCTCCTATACACTAATTTATACAATTTTTTAATATACATTTTTCGTAAAAAGTCAAAAAGTTATCCCAAACAATCATCTTTTTTTCCTCAACTTTTTAGTCCAAAAAGTCAAAAGGTGGACTTATTTAGGACACTCCAAAAAAGAATTAATAACAACTTGCTTGGTATAATATCTAAAAATATGTCAACCATTATGTTAACATGAACAAAAAAAAAATTAATAAAAAGAAATTAAAATTAATAACATAACCTTCAAATTGTTCGAAAATGAGAAAAGTAAATTAATAAAAATATGTCGTCTACAAATTAATTTTAAAAAATTTAAATTAATAACAAAACCATTATTTTAATGAAATGAAAAAAACAAATTAAGAAAAAAAATTCGGCTACCTTCAAATAAAAAAAGTTAAAAATTAGTAATTATATATTTTCTTTAATGAAAAGGAAAAAAAATTAATAAAAACTTGTTTGGTATAAAAATTACTAACAAAACCATTATGTTAATAACATGAACAAAAAAAAAAACAATTAATAAAAAGACATTTAAATTAATAACAAAGCCAAAATTTCAATAAAATGAAAAAAATGAAGTAATAAAAAAATGTCGTATACAAATGTCACTACAAGAAATTAAGGTTTTAAAGACAAATTTTTAGAGACAAAAATAATTTATCTGTAAAAATTATACTTTTAAGGACAAAATGAAAGAATTTAAAAAAATATATATATTTAATCATATTATTACATTTTCTAGACAAATTTACTTGGTTGTAAAAAGATCAATCACTTTTCCTTACAATTTTAATTGGTCCCTAATAAACCCAAATCATATATTATTGTATTTTATATATTAATTTTTGAACTTAATAATCGGGACTATCAAAAAACAAAAAAAAGCATCAGTTTCATCGCTCACTCTCTCCCTCTCTCTCAAATCCCTAAATTCTTTTCATATATCAGGTTTCAAATCCCTAATTTCTTTTCATCACTCACTCTCTACGGATTCAATATTCTGATCTGTGGTTCATCATTGTCTCATAGCATCTCTCTCCGTTGCCGCCTCATCTCTTCTCGATTCTCCGATTTGCCGGCGACTCTCCGGTAGCGATTCCGATCAGGTACCATTATATATGTATATACATACATGTATGTATCCGTATAATCGATTTGATATCGCAATTTTAGCCATGTATAGATTCATGTGTTTGTTCAATCAAATTTACCAAATTGAAATATGCAGATCTAAGTAATGATTTTCCATACTTCATCTTCTGGTAGGTAAGAATACCAGAAAGTAAGCGAGCAAAGAGGTTTACATTATTGTGGACTCAAAACTGCATCTAAATCTACCTAAAAACATTTTCGTGTTTGATCCTTAGCAGTAGCATGCAGGATTAGTCTCAAGTTAAATTAGTTCTGTATTGGTGTTGAATAGATAACTCAGAGCTCCTCGTGTTCAGTGATTTGTAATCAAGTGTATTGGTTGAATGAATTGTGACATAATAAAGTGGAAAATAGAAACTACCAGATTTTGCTGGATGAAATCATTTCATTCATTCTTGAAATCCTCTGAATTTTGCTGGAGGAAATCATTTCATTCATTCTTGAAATCCTCTGAATTTGCAAGGTATAAATAAAGGGATCAGGACTATACCCAACCCAACTGTCAAAGGCCATAGATGCTCAAACTTAAAATGGAACACAAAATTAGAACACTATTACAGGGCTACACTATTACAATCCATATATATCTATATATATATATCTAAAATTCCATAAACATCATCTTGCAATTTAACTACAAAATAACTAATTAAGTTTGTCTAATGAAGATTATCTATAATATTTTTTCAATGGATAACCTAGCTAATCTATTTAATTGAGGTCGACCAAAAATAATTTTAAGTTTTAAACTTAGTATAAATGTTGAATTTATTTAAAGGCTTGTGACTGTGTGTGCCTTATGCACATGTTGGAAATTTTATTTAGAGTTTATTGATTCTTGGGATTCTGTTGGGATTAGTATATGCTTGATATTACATACTACTGATGAAAATAATGGTCAAAAGTTATGTGCAACAAACCTTTAAAGAAGAAAAGCCTAACATGTGAAAAGTGAAAACAACTATGGATAACCTAGCTAATCTATTTAATTGAGGTCGACCAAAAATAATTTTAAGTTTTAAACTTAGTATAAATGTTGAATTTATTTAAAGGCAATGATGCTCATCAACTTGTGACTGTGTGTGCCTTATGCACATGTTGGAAAATTTATTTAGAGTTTATTGATTCTTGGGATTCTGTTGGGATTAGTATATGCTTGATATTACATACTACTGATGAAAATAATGGTCAAAAGTTATGTGCAACAAACCTTTAAAGAAGAAAAGCCTAACATGTGAAAAGTGAAGACAACTTTGCTCAAATAATAAACTAATATCTCAAATAACAACTATGCTCAAATAATAAACTAATATCTTGAATAATAAACTAATAAACTAATTTCTTGAACAACTTTGCTCAGATATTAGTTTTCAACTTTGCTCAAATAACAAACCTTTCTTGAATGTTCTCACTAAATTATGTAAATGTTCTCTTGAATCAGTGAGATATTAGTTTTTGTGTGAGTGTGTGCACTAAATATAAATTTTCTAAATTTCTACACATTTTGAGTATTGTGAATTATTGCAACTTGCAACCATATGTGCATTGTACAATGTAAACCTAATAATTCTAGAAAGACAATGTCATTCTTTGCTTTTGTTTTCTATATCTATTCCTCCTCTGAACCATTCTCTCTCTCTCTCTCTCTCTCTCTCTCTCTCTCTCTCTCTCTGCGCATTGGTAATTCATTTGCTAAGCTATTTGTGGCATCAAATAATAAACTAATCCATAATTTAGAACAGTAGAACCAAACTTTGGTTTTCTTTGCCTTGATTTTCAAATGCTATATATATCTGTCAGTGTCCGTACTTCGTAGATAGTAAGGTAATTTTATATTTTTTGTTAAACACAGACACAGAGGTTAGTATAAATGTCGGATCTGCCCCTAGCAAATGGGTAGTCAGCCATCTGAGCTATCAAAGTCATGAAGTTGTTTAGGTCAACGTCCCATTTGTTTTCATTCTAATCTGTTCAATATGTTGTGAAAGCTTGTGAAGATCATCTCCTTTCTGACATCCATTAGTTTATTTTTTCTCTTATGCAGTGTTAGTTTAGAAATTGTGGAACTTTTATGAAATGATGGGTATTACTATCACTGGATCCTAAAAGTACGAGCAGTATCAATCTGTAGCATGTTGTTGTTGTTGTTTTCATTATGTGTGTGTGTAATATTTATCCATATTTTGAAACACAAGCCCCAATCCTAATCAGATTTCATCTCATTTGCGAAAATGTAAAGATCTGTCTAATACTTTTAAACCACTGTCTCAGTGTAGATTGATCTAGGGAAACAAGCAAATAGAGGAGTGACATTTGGTGTGCCCATTGCTAAGGTAAAGGTATTGCATTCCCGTTCCCAGCATTAGGGGTTGCACAGATAGATATTTTTGTGCAACTTGCATATTCTTTTATTTTGCCTCTGGCTTGTAAATAATTAAGTGGAGTTTTGTAAATCTAGATGTGAAACAAAAAGAGAAGTTTTCTCCAGCTTTGGGGGAAGTTTTCTCCAGCTGCTGCTGTACTGAGCATTTTTTTTTTTTTTGTGAATTTGGTTGGTTTTGTGAATTTGGTTCATTTGAATATCCTACATTGTTCTAACTGATAACCAATAACAAATTTTCAACACAGGTATGTCCACAAGAGGTAGAGGACGAGCAGGGTATGTACCTAGACCCCATGCGCCTACACACCATGCGCCTACACCGCATGCATCCACTAAATCAGTTCGTTCATCCACTCAATCAACACCTGGACCCAATGCATCCATTAAATCAGTTCGATCATCTATGCTGTACCCATTTACATCAGAATCGGTACATGAAGTTACGTCACAAGTTTCACACTCGGATACTTCTAGCACACATTGCAACACTGATGGTTTGTAAATATTTTAAGTTTATGTTTTGTTTTGGTTAGTGGTCTCTTCTTTTCAATCTATATATTAACATGATACTTTTTCATTGTTTTCTTCAAATGCTAATTGTTTTCAATCAAGGTTTGTTAATTCTTCAAATGCTAATTGTTTTCTTTGACATACCCATGATTGTTAATTGCTGAATTTCAATCAATATTGTTGAGAATTGCCAGATTTGGACTCTTTGGTTCAGATTAAGAACCGTGACACAAATTGAGTCCGAACTGTAGCATGAGGCCCGCGGGCGCTGTTACACACTTGATTGTTGGTTGACTTTTGCTTATATTACTTGACCATTCTAGATTATGATATTGGTCTGTTCATTATCAATATATTGTTGATTATATGTAACATTGAAACAAGAGGAAGATTACTAATTTCAATTGACCTCAAAATTGCTTTGATGATTGAGTTGAGGAATAAATAGGTAACCATTTTTCATATTGTTTTCACAACATCAATGTAAACTGTGTCTATCTTTGGAATAATTATTTTCAAATTTTTGTAGCAAGTTTAATCTTTGTTAACTCTTGAATATTGATAGTGAATTTTGGGCGGCTTTGTGTGCTAAGATTTATGTGTGATTGCTGCAGATACTACAATTGGCACATTAAATTGCAATCTATTAAATTAATCTATCATTAGATAATTTTTAATTGGTAATCTATTTGAGAGTTTGGCCTTTCTATGCAGGTTCTGCAAGCTTGTGTCGATTTGAAGCTTGGGAGCTCTTTGCTAGATTTTGAATGTCATTTCAACAAAGCCATTGAGAAGAAGATGTGATGAGTTGAGTTGTTTTGTTATGTAGGTAGATATAACTGCAATTACAATATGTTGAATAGTTGAATGCTGCAAACATTGCTTATGGTACTAGCCTTATAAATTGGAAATAATATTTTGAAATCTCTGTCAGTTTATGATATATAATCAAGATATTACATACTAATGAATCAAAGCATGGTATTTGTTTGTTATTGAAATATCTTTTGATTAAGTTTCTTTGAATGTGATAAGCATTTTTTTTTCTTCATGTAGTGGAATTTTAATTTGGAGATGAACAAATGGTCTGGTGATATGTTTGATATTTTCTGTTTGGTTGTTAAGAACTCACCCATGGTGCGATTTGAAGAAGTAGATAGAATTTCTGTCACTGTTTGTAACTTTATGAATTTCCTCTAGTTATGATCATTGTGACACCCGAAATTTTTAAATTTAATTCAATACTGTCATAAATAGAATTCCTTATAAGGTAAAAAAATAAATAAATAATAATAATAAATAAATAATATCAAACTTTTAGAGACCAATTTTAGTTGTCTCAAAAAAATTATAACCTTTACACACTACTTCCATTTGTTCCAAAAAGTAAAACTTTTGGAGACCACTTTCATTTGTCCCAAAAAATAAACTTTTAGAGACCAATTTCGGTTGTCCCAAAAATTAATTTTTGTCTCCATAACTACTCCGATTGTTGAACTATAATTAGACTATTAGAGACAAATTTTGGTTGTCTCAAAATCAAAACTTTTTGCAACCACATATTTTTGTCTCTAAAAGTCTATTTATAGTGACAAATGCAAAATTTTGTCTCTAAAAGTCATTTTTGACTTTTCCGGACAGGCCATTTGAGACAAACTTCGCGACGAAGGAAATTGGTTGACAAAAGTTTTTCTCAACAAATATTATACTTTTAGGGACGAAACAAATTTGTCCCTAAAAAGCTGATTTCTTGTCTAATAAAATTATTAAAATTAATAACAAATCTATCCATGGCCAACAATTTTTTTTTTTAATAAAAAGTTAATGAACATCATAAACTGAATGAATATCATAAACTACAATTTTTGCATGCATCATTCAACCATCAAATTCAATAAAGTGTTTGACCATGCATATTATACATTGCATCAACAATATATTTAAGTGTCTTTATTAACTTAATAACATTTTGTTGATTGATCATGTGATGATCTTTGTGTTCCCTTTCCTTTCATTGCTATTTAGCCCAATTGCTGTCCTCATTGTTAGTTATCCTACAAAAAGAGAAAAGAAGTCATTAAATTCACAATTACGTAAAGTGGGCGAAGTTATGTAATAAAAGTGTCATAATGATTGAAACTAGTAAAATAATTATACATCTAAAACCATTAGTCACTACGATATTCACTTGCCTTGTTCACATCACAAATCTATCCATGGCCAACATGATTTTGCCACATAGCAGTAGCAATTGCATCCCTAAAGTTAGATTGGTACGTCAACCCATGTTGTGACATGTCAACATAGTCAACTTGGTCTCCAACAAGCCTGTCTGTTTCCGCTTCTGCCGCCATTTCATTATCAGCTTCCATGAAGAATGGGTCCATTTCTGCATGCAAACGGATCCAATTGTGCACTACACAACATGCAATCACGAAAGGGCCTTGTCTTGTAGACTTGTAATTAGGCATAGACCGCAATATTGGGAATCGTTTCTTCAGAACACCAAATGTTCTTTCTATGACATTGCGTAACGATGAATGTCAATGGTTAAACAATTCCTTGGGTCCTAAATAATGACGGCCATGAAACTCTTGCAAGTGATAGCGTTGCGAACGAAATGAGGCAAGAAATCCAGGCATGTTCATGAAACCAGTATCCACTAAATAATACTTGCCTACATGTAAATAATGAATGCACTGTTCTATCAAACAGATGTACAAAAAAATAATTTCAAAAAGTGTACCGTATGTTATTTCGTGACACTCACCATTGGGTGGGTATGGGAACTGTAGATCAGCTCTTATAATAGAGTCAACTAAAATAGCATTGTCATGTGCGCTACCTTCCCATCCAGAATTACTAAATGTGAACAACATGTCGAAGTCCCAAATTGCGAGTACATTTTGTGATATCGTAGATTTGTGACCGCGGAATGTATTTTGTCTTGAAGCAGGGACCCATGCATCCACCAATGTGCCATCGATAGCACCGACACAATCCTAATTGAAAGATATTTGTTTGACATTAAAAGCGAAACAAAGTTGGATATTACTTAAAAAAAAATATCATCCCTTATTGTTATGTAAAACTTACAGGACAATCATTAAATTCATACCTTGAACCAGGGAAAAAACCTCCTGTCATTTAAAATTTTTGTCGGTATCTCGTCTTGGTTACGTGGTTTGATAACCGTTGATGCAAGCTTGTACAATGCCCGCATAACAATTTTTATGTGCCGACAAATTGTTTTCGTGGAGTGTTGAAATCTATCTGCCAGTAGTTGATGGCGATCATTTTGTGCAAAAGTGTATAAAAAATTTCCAAGCGATTCCTCCACACTGATATGCATATGTTCAGTATCGATAAAGCCATTTTGGAGTAAGGTGTCTTTCAATAAAATGAATGTTTGTGCATCCATTCGCATAATGTCCATCATTGTTTCTGGATGGCCATTTAATAAGCTAAAGATGTAATCATCACCTTTGAATGGATAAGTTCACTGCGGTCGGCGACTACTTGACGCGTTGATATGGTCATACATGAAAGCAATCATCAAAAAATTCATAAAATCTTCAATAACCTCATCCTCCTCTGATGAGATCTCCATTGCATTGTTTTCTGTGTCGGATGACATGTGGTTTCGTCTACATCACAGTAAAAGCATAATTATAAAATAATGTTTGACAATATCGTAACGCTTACCATTATTGGTGAAACTGAATTAAAAAGTGGCTACATGAATAGTCGGCCTTAGTCATTTACTAGCATCCACTAAAATGTATACGAGAAGAAAATTTGTTTAATATGTAGTCATCTTGTAATAACGCAACATATTTTTAATAAAACAGAAACTACTTAAAAGTTCAACAAAAATTAAACATACGAAGATGGAAAAGAAAGAGCATCTCATGGAATGAAAAAAAATGATAAAAAACAAATCAAGAATCATGAAATCATCTTGCAGAATGACAAGGAGATTCGCTAACACAATCAAAACACAATTTCTCACTTCACTGCAAAGCGAGGATCATAGCTAGGCTCATATGGGTAGGAGTACGCATAAAAAACCTTCACCATTCCTTGTCTTTAAATAGTGTCAGTGCCCTAACGTACTGCACTAGTGGTATGTCCCCAAGCTCTAACAATGCATCTTGGCATGCATCAAGGGAATACTCATCACCACCTGCACTTACAGCCTCTGTCTCATTTTCTCGTTCCAAAAAGTCACGATCAAGTGGGTTTGATGATATGTGTGAAGCTTTCACATCCTTCGTAAATGTTCTGTTTCTGTTTGTACGTAGGATGTGAAAACTGCGCACACATCATCGAACCCACTTGATCGTGACTTTTTGGAACGACCACTGTCAATCTGGCTGCTTGTAGGGCCCCTCTTGTGACTTTTGCCCTTCGCTGGATCCATGTACTCATCGCTGAATAAGTCAACAGGAATGGCTTTAGCAGCATTACTCCCACAAACTTTAGGGTTCCAAAATTTATTTAGCATTTCATCTTCTTCATTTGAGTCAAGGGCTCCTTGTGTGGATGCACGAGATAAGGCCCCTATGGCACAACAATTTTTAACAATTTTCGCCATTTCTTAGAAATATTCAAATCCTTTTGTCCTAAACTTTTTTACATTTCTGATAGCCTACAACAATTGAAAATATAGAATTAAGCATACTGTATGTGTGATGAAATGTTAAAAAAAAAATTGAAAATGGTATAGGTTAATGAAAAATCTTATCTCAAAATTCATCGGGTGCAACAACAATGCCTACAATGGGCTCCCATCCCAGACCAATCTGTGCCTGGAGTCGCTTAAACGTCTGGTAATCAGTTTTCAATCGCTGATATTTTTGTCACACCTGCTTTGCTGTGTATCGAAATCCATACAGATTGTGCAACTGATTTGCAAAATGATTCCAATGCCTAATTGTCCACAAAGTAGTACGGCCCGTTGTTTGATTTTTTTTTTAACCTCTTCTCTCAACATGTTTATTAATTTCATTTCAATTCTGGGAGTCCACATTTTTGTATCTTGATTGTCATCGGAATTGTTTCCATCCATCTATAAACATAAAATTTATATTTAAACTACTCTGGGGTGGTTGTAAAAGAATAACAGAGCAAACTACTCTAGAGTGGATATAAAAAAATAACAGAGCAAAAATCAATTACAATTATTTATGTAGGAACCAAAAGTAATATTTATTTCAACTTGGTAAATAATGTTAGGAAAAGTAGATGGTTTGAAGGGCAACATAGATAAAAAAATAAAACCACATAGCATTAATGTTTACTTTAACTTGTTAAATAATGTTACGAGAAACAGATGATTTGAAGGGTAACAGAAAGAAAATAAAAACACATAACATCAATGTTTATTTCAACTGTAGGAAAGGCAGATGATTTGAAAGCCAAAACAGAGACAAAATAAAAATCATGTAACATTGTCTGTATTTACATACTAAAAAAATAACTACAAATAAGCAGAAGAAGAAGGCCACAAGAAGAAGTAAGCAGAAGAAGAGAAGAAGAAACAAATAGTAGAAGGGCAGAGGGAGGTCGACGGAGAGATGACCGGCCGGATAACCTGGGGGACAACCGACTCAGCTATAAAGGTGACAAAAGGTACAAAGAGTTCAGACAGATCAGAAACTGTCTCAAACTATCTCTATACTCGTTTGGACTTCTCAGAAATCATTTGCACATAGCAGATGATTGAAGAACATATTTACCAGATTAGTGGGAGTTGAATAGTTATCACCGGTGATGGAGTGCGTACAGTGACTGAATGTGCGACTCTTTGGTAATTGTCTGATTCGACAATAGGTTTGATAAATTTGACCTGAGACAAAAAAACAATTGGGAATAAAATTAGGGATGATTTTTTCAAATCAGTGACCTATAAGAAAATATGTAAAATAAATTTGTGAGTTATTTGAGCTCACACTCGTCGTTGTT